TAGATAATCCCATTTTTGTTCAGGAGGTTCTGAGCCCTCTCTTAACAATTTGAATTCATCTTCAAGGGGAACTGTTACCATAATAGCGGAGGGCGGATTAAATTCAAAGGTCCCTCCCTCAGGCTCAAAAGAAATGACAGCTCCCAATTTCCGTAACAAATCTCTTTCTAACAGTGGGTATGGGCATTCCGGGATAACTAGAAAGGAATGAGTAACCGTGCCTTTTCCCAGATTTACAATTCTCTTAGTGGTCCAAGAATAGGAGGCCGACTTTCCTGTGGCCCCAGTGATAGAGGACTTTAGGGAAGATAGAGTGCCAAGGGGGGTCTTCAGGACAGAATGGGCCGCACCAGTGTCCACGAGGAATTGGACATCTGTTCCCCCTATTTCCAAAGTCACCAGAGGCTCATTAGGGTCAAGCGGCCATGAGCCTTGGCCCCTTCAGTCTTCTTCATCTACCAGGAGAACTCCATCTCCCCGTTTTTTTGCTTTTTTCTCTCTCTTTTTTTTCAACTTTTCACAGTCTTTCTTGTAATGGCCCCTCTCCTTACAATAGGCACATTGATCCTTTTCTACTGCGGGCCATTCTCTATTTTTACCCTCCCGTTTGTTCTTTTCTTCCTTCTGGACAAAACCTCCATCCATCAAGGCAGCAATATTTGTCTTTCCTATCTTTTTGGCCATTCTATCCTCAAGGGGATCTCTGTTGTTAAACACCTTCATTGTCACACTTATTAACTTTTCCCTATTTTTTCCCTCGAACCCTTCCATTCGCTGTAATTTTTTTCTAATGTCTGGGGCCGGCTGAGTAACAAAAGCCAAATTAATTGCCTGTCGATTTGCAGGGGCGTCTGGGTCAATCGGAGTATACGTACGGTATGCTTCCAACAGATGCTCCAAAAAGGCAGAAGGGGATTCCTCAGGCCCTTGAAGGACCTCGCTTACCTTGCTCAGGTTGGTAGGCTTCCGTGCGGCTCCCCTCAGGCCGGCCAAGAGATGCTGACGGTAGTTGTGGAGAGCTTCTCTCCCACCCGAGGAATTTGCTTGCCACGGGGGACGGATGGACGGGAGCTGTGCCTCAATACGGGCCCGCTGCTGTTCATCAAGTGGGCCCTCTGATCCTCCCAACACCGACTTTATAGCCTGTCCTCGAATTCTCTCTCTCTCCTCAGAGGTAAAGAGGGCTTGGAGAAGTTGCTGGCAATCATCCCAGGTTGGGTCATGGGTATTAAAAACAGATTCTAGGAGGGAAATCAAAGCCTGGGGTTTTTCTGAAAAAGGGGGATTTTGATGTTTCCAATTATACAAATCACTGGTAGAGAAAGGGATATAGACATAATGACCCTGTTCTACTTCCCTAAGAGGCAGAAGAGGAGCTGAATTAGTCCCTTCAGTGGGAGCCCTGCTGGGACCATAAGCAGCTCCTGTTCGCGTGTGGGAAGGGGAGGTTACAGAATCAGGAGATTCTTTTTCTTCTGAAAGAGGAGGAAGAAAAGGATTCCGAGATCTAGGGTGGGCTTTATCTGAGGAGGATGACGGCCCCGCATAAGGTGGAGGGCTTATTTCAAGATCTAAGGGGTCAGGATCTTGCGAAAGCACCGGCTTGGGAACTTGAGCCCGTTTCTCTTGAGGCTTACTGGGGGTCATAACCAAAAGGCGAGAGTTTGTTCGTAAGCAACAACGTTGCAACCAAGCCGGGGGCTCCTGACAAGCTTGGACCCAGATATTTATATATGGAAACTGATCAGGATGGCTAGGGTGCCCAGTGACCTTTTTCCATACCGCTCGGCAGAGACTTAGATCAAAGGAGCCCTCTGCTGGCCATCCTACTTCAAAGGCCGGCTACTCCAATTGGCATAGGGAGCGAAGTTTTCCACGAGAAAATTTAACCCTATATTCGTCCTCCTGCTCGGGGGAAAAAGCCAATTTAAAATTAGTGAGAAAACAATCTAACGGAGTACTCTTGGAGCCAGATCCTCCCATCTCTGCCCTTGATGGTTAAAAAAAGAAATTAACACAGAACGGACAGGACGTTAACATATAACAAATAAGACAGACGCGCGCCACAACAAAATTGAAACTAAAACCTTCCCTTGTTCCTCGTCAGGAACCTTGGGGTTAGGGGAGGCTTTCCGGCTCGTCAGCCACCTCACTCCTAACAACAAACGGTTGCAACCGACCAAAAACTTACCTCCGGAGGTTTTAAGGTCTGTGCCTGAGTCTCCTGCTGGATCCCGCCACAGAGTCCCGGCCAAACCGGGGTTCCTTACTTGGGAATCTCGCTGGGGCCTCCAAAATGTAAGACCGAGGGCCTTACCAAACGCTCCGAGGAGCTGGCTACAGCGGCGATCACCCGGGAAGGAACACACCGGACAAGTGGAAGGAAAAAAACAGACCTTTATTAGTCTGGCCAGACGGCACTCCCAAAGCAAAGTAGCTGAGAGAGGCAACTGGCTCAGAGTCCGAGGCTGTTTTTATAGGGGGTTGAAGGGGGCTTACATGTAGGTTTACGGGAAGAAAGGAACAAGGGTTTGGTTCATTGTCACATGTTGACGGTCAGCATAACCGCAGTGAGGACACTGTGACCATGATCAGCAGATTTAGTTACGGTTTGTTCCACTGATAGTAGTTCCGGGAATTTTTTCTGTTCTCCGGACAAACAAGGGGTTGAATGCTTTGCTAAGGAGGTTACAGATCTTATCCACTATTTTAAGACTAGCAAACACATTTTAGCCATTAGACATAACAAAGTCTGAGGGAATACATAAGTTTTGAATCATACAATCCCACAATGTTGATATACTGGTATTTGCATATAACATATTTGGGTTATTTTCATCCCCCTCTTCCTTTCCTCCCCTCTCCACCTTATCCCTTACCCATCTCTAAAAGTCTAACTTCTAGTTTCTTGTCATTTATTTTATTTATTTTTAGATTGTGTATATTTGAGGGAAAATGTGATATTTAACTTTCTGAGACTGGCTTATTTTGCTTAACGTGATGGTCTCCAGTTCTATGCAAGAAATGTGGTTTCATGTGCATACCCGTGTTTGTGTATGTGTATTTAAGAATTCAAGCCATTTTATACTTGATTGAAGTTACAAGCTTAGATTCTATTAAAAATCTACTTAGTGAAAAAAATGTATTTAGGGGTTGGGGGTGTAGCCTAGTGTTAGAGCACTTGCCTAGCATGTGGGAGGCTCTGGATTTCATCCTTAGCACTGAAAAAAATGTTTCAAAATTTTTGATTGAATATTTGTGATTTCACTAATATCATTGATTCTTTCTGACTGTTGAGGGGATAATGCTTATCAAATTCATTTTTTATTTGCTCAAAATATCTCCTTTATAAAACAACTACTTTTTTGTTTTATTCTGCAGTATCCTAGTACAGTTGCTATTCATTATGAATTTGTGATAGATCTTCTTGCAGTTCTGTGTGTGTGTGTGTGTGTGTGTGTGTGTGTGTGTATGTGTTTACTGTCCTGGTCATTGGTTTTTGCTTCTGTGTCCCTATTCAATTTCATGTCAGTGTTATGTTTTTATTTTCAAATTAAAAATTTGTCCATGCTTGTTTTTTAACTGGGAAAAAATTATATTCTACCTTAGTTACCAATTATGATTTGCATAGTTGGTACTCATCCTTTTTGTATCATAAACATATGATAATGTTTTATCTATGCACAGACACTGTATTGTCTGAATCAATGTATTGTCCCTGAATAGAACAGTGATGTGTTCGTGTGTGATACTAGAAATGACACATGGGCCTGACATGCACACAACAATACAACAACAAAGTAAAATATCCTGCCAGATCAGAAAAGTGCTTAATAGAAAAATATTTCACAATGCATTAGTCTTTAAATTAAAATTAAATACAATTTACAATTCATTTCCTGAGTCACACTAGTCACATTTCAAAGGGTCTGTATCTGCATGTGACTAGTGACCCCCATATAGGCAATGTAGGTACAGAGTTGAACACTGAATTAGAACTTTATTTATTTGTAGTTTTTTTCCTTTGGGTTGAAGCAACTTTCAAAATTGATTTCCTTTAACTTCTAAATGACTTTATTTTAAATCTTAATTTAAATTTTCTTTTCATAATTTATGTTGTTTGCCCACAGTCTGAATTTCATAGATGAATCTTAATACAGGCTTATCATGAGTTCTGTTCTAGGCAGAAGAGAGACTGCAGCTTAGGGAAGAAGTTGCCTTTGGTAGATGCCCTCTTGGCTCTGATCCCTGGGGTAAGGGGAAGTTCAGAGTTAGTACTTGGGAGTCCAGAGCTTGTGTCCCGGTTGGTACTTGCTCCCTTTATGATCTGGAAAGTTTACTTCTTGGTGACCTAGTTCCTCATTTTCAAAATGGGATTCCAGTACCTCCAGCTCTGGGGTCTGATTGCAGAGTAGATGAGAGTAGATGCAGTAAGAAGCCGTGTGTTTGTTCAGTGCCTTGCTCAGGGCCTAACTTTAACTTCCATTCTGTTTTGTTATTTTGGGAGCAGGAGGTCAGTTTCATTAGGGCCACTGGTGCCTATGTCCCATTGGAAAAATTCCTTCTTTATTCTGTCAGGCTGAGCTAAAAGCAAGAAATGAAGTCTAAAAATAGTCTTTGAATAATTCAGATTCTCAAGTATTCTTTTCTTCCCCAGAGAGTTGGGCCAAGATAGAGTTCATCTAGATATTCAAGTACTTTCCTCTGCTTTCTACTTCATTTTTTAGTGTGGGTCTGGCTCAGCTGCAACATATTTGTTGAAAAGGTGTTGACTGAGGATTGTTGAGTTGTTTTCTTAGAGAGCTGAAGTTCTAGGCAATAAGCACCTTAGTGTGTTAGAGATCTGTCCAGAGAGGCCAAGAGCAAATAGAGAGGTGAAGAGGAAATTGGGCCATGTTTTATCTCCTTGAGAAGCTCTCAGGGAAAGCAGTCACCTCTCTGAATAATGTGACAGAACATACAGTACTAAGAAGGGACACTGACTCTCTGTCATCTACCAGGCTAATCAAGACAAGCCCGGAACTGGCTGAGTCCTGTACATGGTTCCCAGAGTCGTATGTGATTTATCCAACTAATCTAAAGACCCCAGTTGCTCCAGCGCAGAATGGAATCCAGCCACAAGTCAGTAACTCAAGGACAGATGAAAGAGAATTCTTCCTGGCTTCTTATAACAAAAAGAAAGAGGATGGAGAAGGCAACATTTGGATTGCAAAGTCATCAGCTGGTGCCAAAGGTGAGTTGGCATTGCTATCGTCTTCTCTGTGCCCTGTAGGCTTCTGTTGAGCTTTGTTAAGTGGCACATTAGATTTTTAATGATGTACTTAGATGAGTGGCTTTATTCTGTTCTGAAACATTGGAGGTAGAGAGCATGTGTTAAATGTCCCACTATGTAGTGATGCCTTCTGAATGTTTGTCTCCTTTGAACTCTGATTCTTTCATATAAGCTGTAGGTCCAAGAGCAGCCTCTCTATCTGTAAGAGACATCTAAACCTAATGTGTCTGATATACTTCTCTTCATTTCCTCCCAACTTTGCCCACCTCAGCCTGCTCCTCTTTCATTCTTCCTTTTTAGTATATGATCCCACTATTTACCCAGACTCTGAAGCCCCAACATCTTTGACAGCTCTTTACAGTCTATGCCTAATGCATTAACAATTCTTTCTAGCATTACTTTAACAATATACTCTTGAATTAGACTCTTATCTTGCTGTTTCCACTGCTCCTATTTTAAATCAAAGCCACCATTCCCTCTAGTCTGTGTAATTAAAGAGCCTGCTCTCAGCCAGAGTTCTCCTCCCAGACAGAGTGATGTCTTAAAAACCTAAATCTGATCATGTTACTTCCTGCCTACTGCTTACCAGCTGGTTTCCTCATGCGATTAGAATAACCGCAGATTCCTGATGTAGCCTACCCAGTTGGACATTTCCTCATATCCTTGATCTCATCTCCTTCTATTCTTGGCCCTGCTCACTGTGCTGTAGCCACAGACTGACTGCTTTATGTCCCTCAGATACTCTAAATTTGTCTCTCCCTGGAATTTGCTTACATGGGTTCTCAGTGCAGATGTTGCCCTGTAGGAGAAGGCTTTTGTACTCTAAGATAGCCTCTATGCCATTGCTTTCTGTCCCTTGACCCTGCTTTATTTTTCCTTCTTAACTAAATCTCTTTCTCCAGTTGTACTGTAAGCTCCATATAAACACAGACTTGTTTGTGTATGTGTCCTCCTTATAGGCACTCAGTAAATATGTGTTGAATGATTGCATAGAAGGGGTGAAGTTTATAATAACTCAAGCCTAAAATAGAGGCAGTCCCCAAAGTAATGAGCACATAAGCAATCTCTCTCTATAACTACCATCGTATGCTCTTTTTAAAACTATTCCATTTTGAACTTACTTCTTCTTTTATTGCCTTGGAAGACCATCTGGCCATTGGTCCTCATTTCTATCCCTGGTCCAGTAGACCTCACCTTCTTTTCCACCAACCATGAGACAGGAGGGCATCACCTGAGATCTCCTGAAAGTGGGAGAGTTGGACTTTTGCCACAAGCCAGGTACCTCACCTACTTCTCTTTCCCCTCCTGTGACCTTTTCTTAAGTACTGTCCCCTAGTTTTGTTTCAGTAGTAAATAGGAGAATTGGAAAAGGAAATGGACATCTGTGGTGTTCTAGATTTCCTCTTGTGGATTTGAGCTTGGTGTCAGAATGGCCTTTTTGTTGACTCTGATCCCTGACCCTCATCAAGACAAGACGTAGAGGGATACCAAGCAGTGGGGAAACATAAACAGAAAAGAAAATGTCAAATAAAGAATTGTTGCTTTAAGAGTTGAGATAAGTGATATATATTAGCTTTGTTTGGGAACTACAAAAAGAAACCAATAGGTGGGAGGGGCAGGGGAAAGGAAAGAAGGGAAAGGACGAATGATGAGAAATGGAAAAAATGGAAATAAAGTCTTTGTAAATAGGGAAGGGTGGAGG